GCCCCCAGTCATCAGAATCATTAGATTAGGCTTAGCCACGGTCCTGACAAAGAGATTTCCTATCGCCATTTGTTTCAAGGAGAGACCGTGCTTCAGCCAGCACAACCTTAGAACTGGGAGGCACTTGGAAAGAAAATGCATCAAACGTAGGAAGCTGAACACAAGACACACTCCATCTCTTTCTGATTCAGGGTATCGGTATTGGTGCAGCAGGTGCTGTTTTAATGTTACAATAGGTTACTGCCCTGGAATTGTACAGATACACTTATTGAATTGGTTAGTGGTGAACTGATGAGTAATGTCCACACGTTACACACAGAATCACAAAGACAAAATGTTAACTTGTTACAAATGCATAGATAAACATTTACAAGGGTTTTTACAATGACATACAAGCTAAAAGATCAATGAAGCACTGATAGTATATATCAATAATAATATGCCTACACTGTCATATTATTAATGTAAGCATCCAAAGACTACAGAAACCTTTAGCTATGTCACTCATGCTGTCCCCACTCTCTCAAATTAATATTAAAAATAATTGATCTAAATCGTTACATTCAAAATGCACATGAAGTCCGTGTGTCCACGATGGTTAAGAGGACTTTAGTTATCGTATCGTTCCATTTTGCCGGCCAGTAATAAAAATTCACACACAATTACTTTACTATTACAAATATGTTGTGAACAAGCAAACTGAAGTGCTTAAGAGAAGAAATTGAAAGACACTAAAAACTCATTCACACCCTGAAATCGTTCAAATGTTCATAGGTTTGAACATAAACGTCTTTAAGTTTGACTGAAGTTTATAAATCTCACCAACTTCCTGTGCAGCTAAGTTGCTGAAACGTGAAGAGAAATCACTTCAAAGAGTCTGCTTTTGTCTCGTGCAGCATCTAATCTTCCCACTTTGAAGACAAACGTCATTGTCTTTTCCACTGGTGACAGCTCTGATAGGAACATTCATGTTGGTGGTGGAGGAAGTGGCGTTGTTAGTGGGTGTGTGTGGGACTAGATTGGCTTCTTAAACAGGTTAGAAGCCATTTTGTGCTGAAGGAGTCCCGGACATGTCAGGGCTCTTGACAGTCTGCGCTTGGGATTAGTGGGCCAGCAGTAAGGCAATCCCTAATCCCTCAGGGTAGTAATCTATTTACCCACCATGCTAAAAGGGATTTCCATATGAAACTATGCACACAGAGATGCAGTCTGTAAATGTTCAAAATTATAACTT